CAACCATTGAAATAATACCAATTGTTAGGTTCTCTTTGTATTCTGATAATGATTTAAAACAATGATTGAAAGAATTTAATCTATTTTGTGCTAAGCGTGCAAGAAAGCTAATTCAAGAATTCTAATCTTTCCCCACAATCAGAATCAGATCCTGTCCTCCTTGTCCAGAGTTTTGGTTCGAATCAATTGGAATTGGTTCGAACCAATCCTGTAGTTTAGTTTTTCCAAAAACAGTTCGAATAAATATTTCTAGCTTCAAAACAAAAATTCTGAAAGGTAAACCTTTGAGAGTTCAATTATTTGTTTTGTGTTAATGGGCCTTAGAGGGATACAAATGACTAAGCCACTTTCCAAGACGAGTCAGAGTCAGTTATAGGAAGTAGAAAAATGGTGGAATTTGATTGGAGCAATTGTGAGGTGGCATTGAAGGGCAAAACAGGGTTTAATTGCAAGATCTCCCAACCAACCATTAAATGCATCAAAAAATCAGATATGAAAGGCTCTCCCCAACGGACTTCTCAATGGATAGAAGAAAAACAGCCATTGAACAATTGAAACTGTTTTAAATCTTCTTCTTGTTGTGAGCTTTTTGGGTTAATTATTTTTGCTTCCAAGGGTATTGTATTCTTCTTGGGATAATCCTTGAAGAGGTTGAGTGATTTGTTGAGATTCACTTGTGAGGGTTTAATCTTGAACCTTGAAGCAAGAGTGTGAGGGTTTAATCTTGCACCCATAAGCAAGAGTTTGTTCCGGTTTAATCTTGCACCTGTAAGCAAGAGAATCCTAGTGGATTGAACTCTCGAGCAAGGAGGCTTGGGGAGTGGACGTACTTTGGGTCCGAGGAACCACCATAAATCACGGTTTGATATTTTCTTCCCTTTCCTTTTATTTTTCTGCACTTTATTTGCAAAACTGCAATTACTGTTTGTTTATTTTGCACAGCAGTTTACAAATTGGAAATTTGATTCAAGTTTTAAAGAAAAAGAAATAAGTTTTGAAGTAAATTGACAAGACCCAATTCACCCCCTCTTGGCTAGCCAGCTGGGATTACACCAATAAATGAATAATATCAGAGTAAACAAACAGAAAAAACCTCACCACAAGTCTCTACCATGTTAAAAACCAAAATATAAGAGGGATGTAAAATGCAGAAGTTTAAAGATGATACTAGCATCACACAAATGAGCCAAAGACAAAAAGGAATCTCCTAATAGCATTTGAATGTATGCAATTAATATTGTACCTCCATAAATCCACACAGACATACACATTAACAAAAGTTAAATCAAGATGTTAAAGAGAGGAGTCAGAGCCATAAGTGAAACATACCTGAGCATCAGCACCTGATGAGACCAAGATGTTAAGGGTGGTAGAAAATGCTAAACCAGTGATGTGTTTCTGGTGGCCTCTTAATTTTGTTTTAACCTAAAAGTGGCAAAAAAGCTAATTTACATTGAATGGCAAAAGGCAGATCATATAAGTATCAGAAGGTAGAAGGATTTGATTAAATTCATTACCTCATCCACCCGAACATTGTAAATATGGATAGTTGAATCTTCCATTCCAATTGCTATGATGTTGTTATCTTGAGGATGAAACGCCAAATAAGTTGGAGAAGGAGGTGGCGGCATAAATGTTGTCATTACCTTTGAACCAACCAACAGAGATTTACATCAATGCTCAACCACATTATTAACTCCCCATCAATCTTTACAACAGGGAGAGAGTAACCATTATTTTAAGTTATGTAAGTTGTGTACTAATTTGTTTGTGAGAATGTAATATTTCTAGTGCTTGCAAGGGTTGGAGTACCCCTTGTACTCCCATTAATTTATCTTTGCATTTGGTTGATAAAAAAAAAAACAAAAACTCACCATCGATCTTACAACAAATTCCAACTAAATCAAAATTCAACAATAAGTAAAGAAACCATTGTAAATAACACACTAATACCTTAAATGTCATCATATTGAACAAAGAAACCTTTCCCCCGCATGCAGACATTACATATGAATCATTCTTTGACAGGGCTATACATGGAACTGCTTCCTCAGAATTGCCAGGAACATCATTAGCCATGAGAAGACCACTGTTCGGTTGCCAATGTTGTGGAGCAACATTAGCAGTAGCCTACAAAACAAAACCACATCAGATTAAGAAATTTCTACAAGGAATCTTTTCTCCAAAGTAACATAAATAGATCAGATATATGCACGTGAAAGTGTGTGCAACATGTATTACAAGGACGAAACTATGTATGTGACTGTAAGAATAAATCACCTTCCCACTAAGATTTTGTTCACTGCGAGTCCATTTCCATAGCTTCTGAACACCATTTGATCCGAGAGCCAGGATGCCAATGCCAGAATTTGTATAAAGAAGCCGAACAACCTTGATATGACGAGCATTAATTCATCATAATTGATGACCATTTTTTTTAAACAAAAGCTCTAAAACTACAAAATCCCTAAAGATTACTTCAAAATCAGTAGAAGAGAGAAAAGAATAGAAAAAAAAGTGAAAATATAAAACCTTGCTATCCGACTTGTCTGGAGTGGTGACTGCTCTGCACTGTACAGGATTAACAATCTCAGTCAGTTCCCAAGGTTTGCTTTTATCAGAAACATCCTCCAAATTCCTTGGCTTTTTCTCAATGCCTCTTCCTATAGATTCAACTCCACTCTGCAAAAATTTGATATAAAAATTAGATGGTTGTTGAAGAAACTTTGTAAGATTCCACACCTAAAGAATTATCATTAATTTATATATTTCTTTTCATACACTAATTGTATTAATGATGTTTCAAGAACCAGACCATCCTAGAGAAATAATCCTCATGGACCAATTTCTGATTGAAGCATAAAATTAAGGAGGAGGAGGTAGACATTAATCCAGTACTGGAGAGAGCATACGGTAATAGGAATAGGCCTTGCAGGAGAGCTTTGGTCCACACGTTCCACTTTACTAACAACTGGGCTAGTGCTTGTAATCATAGCAGATGTAGATACCTGCTACATGAGTAAGCAAAAATACCAAGTTGACAACAGTAAGACCATGATGAAATCAAAGTCATAGAAGCAAGTTAGCATGATGTTGAAAGAATTGATAAAACCTTCATTTCCATCGGTGCTCTGGATGCATCATAAGATCGAGCCTCAATTGTTCGTAAAGCTCTAAGACCATCAGTATTTGCAAGAACCTTGAATCCATTATCAGCTGTAGTAACAACAAGAAGATTCCCTTCCCTGTTGAATCTCAAGCAAGGAAGACTCTGAAGAAAACCAGACATGAAGTCAAAGAATGGATTAAAATTAGTGTTATATGCCAATCATCTCTGAAAATCACTTGAATGAAACTTCAAAATGAATAACAAAGCCAACCGGAAGTCCGCCCTCAGCTTCTGTACTTGCAAGTATATTTGTATTGTCCATATCCCAAAATTTTATCTGGCCATCCTCTCCAGCAGCCAAAAAGCGATTTCTTGTTGTATCAAACTTTACTATTCCAGCAGATTTCTTTCTGAAGCCAGAGTATGTCCTCTTTATTGCTCCTTCACTTTCATTCCATTCAACCAGGAAAGAGTCCCCTTCTTTACTTGTTCCACCAGAGAACAATCTGTATACCGAAAAAGAGGCATTACAAATGTCTAACCAAAAGCTTTAATAAATAAAAATTTGAGGAGATCTTGTAGCATTACTTGGGTAAAAATGCTAACACCAAATGTTAGTTTTCTCTTCATTTACTTACCGACTTCCATCAGCACTGTAGAGCATTGTACACCAATGTCCAGGAGCATCATAGTCAACCCTAGAACCCACATTGTCATACAGCCAAGCCTTGATTTTCCCATCAACAGCAGTGGAAAATATAAACTACCAAAAAGAAAGAGGGTAATCAAGAAAAAACAAGAAACGCCCAATTGGGATCAAACACATTTTCACAAGACTGATATAAGAAATATGAAAGGAAGGTGCACAGGCATCACATCAGTCACCATTTCATCATCAAATTTTAATTTTAACTCTCCTACCTGAATATTTTCCTTCTGGTGAGGACAAACAGAATAAACGGGTGCCTCATGGCCATCAAAAGTAAAGAGCTTTTTTCCAGTCATATCCCAGACCTAAAGTCATAACTGGCATCTTCAGACAAAAAAAGTATGGAGTTCAAATAAAACAGCATTATTTTACCCATTTCCTCACTTTTATTAACTTATCATCCCCACATGTAACCACACATAGTTGCTTATTTGGATGAGAAAAGGCCAAGTCATTTACTCCACCAACATGGGCATCAATCTATCAGAAAACAAATGATAATTGTCAGTCTATAGCAACAACTAATGCATTCATGAGTAGCACATTATATTAGTGAAATGAATTGTAAACATGCCTCTAAACGTTGATGCAGATCATCAGAGCCTTGATAAGCATACAAATGAACCATTTGCTTCAAATATGCAACCCCTACAAAAAGA